TCCCTTCATGGGAGCAAACCCACTGCGTGTGACCTTCAGCATGGCCCCGGTGTCCCTGGGTGCCTGTCAGGGACACGCAGCGCTCAGCCCCAGCTCAGCTCCTGCCAAGGACACTGCTCCGATGACGTTCCCGTGCCTCATCCCTGTTGTTTTGGATTCTCCGGCCTCTCGGAGCCCGCCAAGGGTGGGGAGCGCCCCAGCCCCTGCCCTGGGGGTGGCTGGGGGCCAGGGTGATGAGATGTGGGCTTTGGAGACCTCCTCCTCCTCCATCCCTGCCTGAGCACAACCCCTAAGTCATCTTCCCATCCCTTCTGCCCCACATCTCTTTTCCCATCCTCTCTCATCCCAGCCTTTCTTGCTTGCAGGGTGTTTAGAAAGGAAAGAGCTGGAAGTTAATCCAAGAAAGCCTCTCTGCTGTGCTGTCCCCAGCCAGCTCCTGGCTCATCCCCAGCCTCTCCTGTCCCTGGAGCAGTGGAGATGAGCAGGAGAGCTCAAAATCCTCTTTTGGGTGAAAGGGGAACGCGGCCAAGAGTTTGTWATCGATGCAATCAAAGTTTAAACAGTCTAAGAGGAGGTTTAGCTCAGATTTGGATGGTGGAAAAGGCAAACTGTCCCCTCACAGCTGTGTGTGCTTGACCTCGGCATCTCACACTGAGGAAGTGAAAAACATTGGGAAAATGACCTAATTGAGTCAAACCAAAGTGGGGAGAAGGTTGAAATGAGCTCAGGTGCAAAACCCTCCAGCAAACACTGCCAGCATCTTTCCAGAGGTCTGGAAAACTTAGTGCCCAACCCAAGGCCTGGCACAGGGGCTGGCAGTGCCAAGRAGCCCACCCAGCACTGGCAGCCGTGGCCGAGGACAGATCCACAGGCCACTTGGTGCTGGTGGGGGAATGAGAGCAGCCAGAGGTATGGTGGGAACTRGGAGTGGTTTATTACACCAGGTGTGCCATCCTCCCTCCCTCCATCCCCACTGGAACAGGGATAAATCAGGTTTTAATGCCATCCTTTGAACCATTCCTGGCTGTTTCTCCTGCTGCTTTCCCCCCACACCCCTGTCCCCTGTTTTTCCATCCGTGCCCAGTGCAGAGTCTCAGTGCATTCACTGCCCRACGTGGGGACCATCCACAGGGGCTGCTGGGGGATCAGTCCAGCTGGACAGGCCTGGAAATCCACCAGTGTCCTTTGGGAGCAAAGCCTGTGGCACTGGGGACACACATCCCTTGGTCCCTGCCCCCACGGGGGGTGATGGATCCATCCTCTGTSTCTGCAGGGACCGTGGATCCAGCCCCCGCCTCCCCAGGGTGGTGATGGGTCCACAGAGAGTTGTTGAATCCTTGGAAAGGTGATGGATCCATTCCATCTCCATGGGGAGATGATGGATCCAGCCTCTGACGCCACAGGGAGACAATGGGTCCATCCCCTGCCTCCCCAGGGTCATGATGGGTCCTTGGGATGGTGATGGATCCATCCCCTGACTCTACAGGGAGACGATGGGTCCGTCCCCTGACTCCATGGGGAGATGATGGATCCATCTCCTGCCTCCCCAGGGTCATGATGGGTCTGTCCCCTGCCTCCCCAGGGTGCTGATGGATCCATGGAGAGTTGTTGAATCCTTGGGAAGGTGATGGATCCATCTCCTGATGCCACAGGGAGATGATGGATCCATCCCCCACCTCCCTGAGGTGGTGAGGGATCCTCGGGAAGGTGACAGCTCCGTGCCCCGTGTCCATGGGGTGACACAGAGGTGACGTGCCCAGGCTAGCAGCTCCCTCCCGTGCACAGGAAGATGCCCAGGGCCATGCCCAGCAGGGCCAGGCTCCCCAGGATCAGCCCCAGCACCAGCGGAGCGCGTGACCGGCCGCTGACTTGTCCTGCAAGAGGYGAGAGGGAYGGAGGTGACAACCGGGCMACCCCGCCRCGTCCCTGTCCCCATCCCCAKCCCCAGCACGGACCTGTCCTGGCACTCTGAGCCTGCAGGAGGCTGACACAGGTGGTGTTGAGGAAATGCTGCAGGTCCTGYGTGGTGATGGTGTATTTCATCAGCTGCTCCTGGGCGAAGGTGGCCACAGGCAGCTCCCCGGGCCAGCGCCGCTGCCAGGTGGCATTGGGGACATGGAAGGTCAGGAACGCTGTCCGGTTGAGGGTCACCTCGTAGAAGCTCTGGGCTGTGCCGTTGGGGAAGAGGCGGCAGCCCAGGTGGCAGCACAGGTGCTGGGTGACTGTGAGGACAGAGGGAGGGAATGGGGTCACCACACTGCCTCCCTCAGCACCCTGGAGCCCTGCCCAGCAGCAGAGTGGGCTCTGAGTTCACCCCCTCCCTCGTGCCACCCCCAGCTTTGTGTCCCCTCGCTTTGGCCACAGCGGGGACTTTTCCAGTGGCCAGGATTCTTTTCCATCCCTAATCTCCACACAGCACAKCTCCCGTCCCGCAGAGAGGGATGGTTTGGGCACAGAGCTGCTCGTGGCTCTCACAGATGGAGCACAGGGACACCGAGAGGGTGGGGTGGGACATGGCAGAGACCCTGCGGTGACACCGGGCTCCCGGAAAGGGAAGGAAAAGGAAAAGGAAAAGGAAAAGGAAAAGGAAAAGGAAAAGGAAAAGGAAAAGGAAAAGGAAAAGGAAAAGGAAAAGGACACCTCCAGCCAGGCAGGAGCAGCAGAGGTGACAGGGCTTGTGGAATGGAGCAGGCAGGAGCACGAAACCATCGCCAGCAGCATCCCACAGCTCCCACAAGCTGTGGGAAGCAACAGGGATGCAGGCAGGTGCAAGTGGGATACAGGGGGATGCAGGCAGAGCACAGGCAGGGAGCAGGCAGGGTTCCTACACCTCCCCACCCCACAGGCTGCAGTCCCCAGCCCTTTTCCTGAGGAGAAGCAACAGGTTGAGCATCATCGCCGTTCCCAGGGTAAGACATTCCCGGCTCCACAGAAGGGTTCCCCTTGCCCGCAGACAGGTTTTGCACATGGCCGTGTCCCCATCCCTTTACCCATCCGTCCCTGCAGAGCCACCCCTGTGCCCGGGCAGCACAGGAGGGGCTCCCCATCCCCGGGGGACCCTGCCCCGTCCCCCGGTACGACTCACAGTTGGTGGGTCTCTCCTTGTTGAAGAGCTGTACCAGTTGCCTGAAGGTCTCCAGGTAGGAGACCACGTCGCTCTGGCGCCGGGCCCAKGCGTCCGGCGGCTCCAGCGGGAGCACCTGGGTGACATTCAGCCCCTCCAGGATGTGGCTGAGCTGCCCGTTGAGGCTGGCGTTCCCCCGGAACATCGAACTGCCCCTGTAGACRCGCGTCAGCTGCAGCATGGTGAAGGCGAGCGGGGCTGCGGGACACGCGGGACATCACCCAGCGCCCGGCACCCCCGCCAGCCCCGCGTGTCCCCACGCCAGCCCCAACGTCCCCGAGCAGCGTCCCCGAGCAGCGCCCCGTCCCTGCCTTACCCGCCTGCTCCGCCSCGCAGCCCAGGGCCCCGCAGAGCAGCAGCAGCCGCAGCATGGTGGGGATGGACACGGCGCTGGGGACGCGCTGGTGGCCCCGCGGCCGCCCGCGGGATGTTAAGCGGGCCGGGGAGGCGGGGCTGAGGGAGGAGGAGAGCGGGACCCCGGCCAGGTCTCTCCCATTTCCTTAACCCGAGCCACCCGCACCCCTTCCCTGCCGGATATGCCGGGCCCCGTGGCGCCTCAGGATGCAGGATGAGGCTCCRAGTTCGCCCAGGCGCACAGGGAATTGGGCGAGCAGCCAGCGCCTGACTCAGTTTCCCCGCCCCTTGGCTGGGCATGGCCCGGTCCCGCTCCCCGGGGATGTGGGACATCAGGGGGACACGGTGGTGGGACATTGCTGGGGGATGGTGTGGAGTGGGCATCCAGCAACAGGACCCCTCTCCCCAAGGGGGACACTCGGGGTCACTGAGCCGGGCACTGGGAATGAGAAATCCATGGCAGCGCTTCCTCCACAGGTTTGGGTYTTAATTACACCTAAAATAATTATAAATTGAAAGGCTTAAAATGTGAAATTTCTAGTAAAAATGCCTGCTCATCTCATTGGCAAAGCATGGCACAGCTTGGGGTGCCAAATAATGGCATCACACAGCCTGCCATGGCATGGAATACAGTCATGGAATGCTCTGGGTGGGAAGGGACCTGAAAGGCCACCCAGTGCCACCCCTGCCATGGGCAGGGACAGCTTGCCCAGCTTGCCCCAGGACCTATCCCAGGTTGTTCCAAGCCTCAATGTCCAGCCTGGCCTTGGACACTGCCAGGGATCCAGGGGCACCCACAGCTTCTCTGGGCACCCTGTGCCAGGGCCTCCCCACCCTCACAGGGAACAATTCCTGCCCAATATCCCATCTGTCCCTGCCCTCTGGCCGTTTGAAGTCATTCCCCCTCGTCCTGTCCCTCCATCCTGTGGAAATTGTCTCTCTCCACGTTTCCTATTGGCTCCTTCAGGCCCTGCAAGGTCACACTGAGGTCACCCCAAAGCTTCTCCTGTCCAGGTGAACAATCCCAGCTCTCCCAGCCTTCCCTCCCAGCAGAGCTGCTCCATCCCTCTGCCCATCCTGGAGCCTCCTCTGGGCTCTCTGCAGCAGCTCCAGCTCCTCCCTGTGCTGGGCCCCAGGGCTGGGGCAGCTCTGCACGTGGGGTCTCACCTGAGCACAGGGGCACAGGGGCACAATCCCAATCCCTTTCCTGCTGCCCACACCGGGGTCAGCCCGGCACAGGGAGGGGTTTCTGGGATGGGGCATGGCCAGCCCTCACCACCAGCACCCCAAACCCTTCTCCAGGGGCTGCTCCATCTGCTCATCCCCAGCCTGGATCGATCCCAGGGGCTGTCCCAACCCAGGGGCAGCACCAACACTTGGTGGAATTGAACCTCATGAGATTTCCATGGGGAATTCATTCTGGAGCATGGCCC